CAAAGAAAATTAACTAAGGAAACAATGATGTGCCTAAGGGCATAGAGGACAAACTGTACAGTGCTGTAGTCTCCTCGAATAATAATTGTTTGGCCGAAACATGTAGCAGCAAGAACAATGAATGTATATAGTTAAAGACATTTTAAAAACAGTGAATTACATACATTTTAGTGTTCTTTCAGAAAAGGTGAATTGTTGCGTTACAGACGGAATATTTTAGTTTAAAAATGATAATGTAAGGGCAAATTTATTGCCTCAATGATCCACTTTATGGTCGTATTATAATTTCTGTAAGTGTCAAACTTTGTAAGCCAAATGCCCTTAAATTGAGAGAACAATTCATCACCATACCCGCTGCTGGTTGACCAGTGTTAAGATGCCTGTGTAGTTGTTTGCAAAGGAGGTTGGTGTTCCTGTGCGACTGCCATCTCCGGTGCTCTCCATCCCGCTGTCACTGCTGGGGCCCTCCCTTGTGGCTGCCTGTAACACCATCACACTGCTCTCAGCAACAGAATGGCGAGTGCTTTTTACTTACTCACTCCATGCCTCTACAGTCCTCTACAAATAGTCTACTTTATAACAGATGACTATTCTTCTCTATTTTCTGCCTTCTACCTTATCCCTTCATATTTAGCTCTCATAAAAGTGGCCTCCGTAGTCTAGGGGTAACGTTCCCACCTCATGACTCAAGGTACATGGGTTAAAACCTGGCGGAGGTCATGGAATGTTTAAGGGCGGAAAAATTCAGAGAAAAAGTCCTCCGGGAAGGACTTCAAGCCGTGGGCCCTGTGTCGTAGATTTACGGCACGTAAAAGATCCTCATGTCTCTCAGAGACCTCTGAGCAAAATTAGGCAACAATTTCCTGCCCAAGTAGTTTCCAATGCCTCTGGTAGATGGGGGAAATATCAGGTAATGACGGCCGACCCCGTTGGCTGAACAGGGCTGATAGCACGCACCAGTACCGGTAGGGTATGGCAACAGTAGAAATTAAAGGGGGATGCACAATGGACCAATAACTGGTCTAAGTGCATGGGGAAACCCACCCCCTCTAATAATAATAAAAAATAATAGCTCTCATAAATCATTTCCACATCCTTTCTTTTTCAGAATTTTTCTTAGCCACTCTTGTTTGAACCAATCTTATCACATGCCTCAAGCACTTGAGAATTCTACTTTAAATATCTGCTACAGATCAGAGGTTTTGTACAATTCCTTTGGTTCTTGGTTAGTTCTGATTCCCCAAACCCCATGCTCGGTTACTGGTCCACTTACCTTCTTCAGCATTTCTGTCTCTCACACACTTAACATCAAATTGTCCTTTTCAATATAAGCCCATGCTCTACATCCACACATCACAACTGATTCTAACCATGTTTTGTGTAGTTTAATTTCTAATATTCTGCTCATGGTTCTTGATTTCTTTACTAATTTCAAATAAATGTATAGTACATCACAGACGTATCCAGATTTTATCAGATATAAAGCATATTTCTTTAAAGGCTGCAACGGCAATGACTGTTCTCAAGCACTGCTTTAGTAAACGCATCATGACTAGACTACAGACCGGATGAATGGGGTCCATTCCTAGCAAAGGTAGGAATTTAGTAACAAACCTCTGAGTTCCATAAAAAGAAATTAATTTCTTGATTGTCTTCCATCTATCAAGAACTACCTGTATTTTTGGTGTGAACTCAGGGTCAGACCGTAGGAATGTGCAGAGATTACAGATAATCTTGGAATTAGGGCATGGCACTCGCTCCACACAGAGATCCACCAAGCGGGCCAAGTGATCTGCAGCCAAGCTCTAGAATCATACAAAAATATGCATATAATCATATGGTAGATCTGAGGTTCACACAGAAATGACCACATCTTCTGGAATGTGATGTCATGTAGTCCAGTATAACTTCAATGATGTTTCAGAGGAATGTACTGCTTGCATCTTCAGGGTTGAAGGGTAAGACAAGCAAGCACCTGACATCTGTCTGCTGCTTGCTTCTTGCTTGATTAGCTGATTTGAATGAAAGAACATGTTCTTTCTGTAACAGAGACGTGAAGCAGCAACATTTCAGCAAAGCCTGCTGCCCTATCTTCAAGGCAGAATAATCTCTGTACCTTGAAGATCGAGATAGCAGGTTGTTCCAAAATGTTGGTACCATCTACCAAACTACATGATGTCACATCACAGAAAACAATAATCTTGACACACAAACAACAGTGCACAACTTCAGTAAATTGTCTGTTCCCACCATGAACAATCATTCTGACACATAACACACCAAATTGATTAATATTTTGCCAATTTCTTAACCCTTTCCATGCTAAAAACATACACATACATCATTTGACAAGTTAGTTCACCTTAGGTTAGAGTTGTACATATGTGCCCTTTGGTGCTTCATTCTAAATTAGCCAAAATCTCAGTGCAAAAAGGGTTGAACAGAGTATTTTTAAGACATCACAACTCATCTTCCCATGATAAAATTTTAACATTCTTTGAAAAAAGTGCATAAACTGGTGGCATAATGGGGAGATCATGTCCATGCAACTTTCATCTTCAGAACTATGGAACAGGTATCAGTGAAATTAGATCCTGAAGAAAGCCACACTTGAAGCTGACAGACAAGTATAATTCTGGTGCATATTGGACAATTTGGGCCAAATATTTACACAAAATCAATACTGAACTTCACCAATTTCCTAAAAAATAGCTCACCTCACAGAAATTAGTACATGACATACAGACCTAACTAGGAACTATGCATATTATTTGAAAAATTTTTCAGTTTGGTGAATATTTAATGAAGCAGGTGGAGAAAAATGATTCTAAGGCCCCCCCATACACACACAGTTTGACCTTCTGATAGACCTTAAAGGCAAAACTGTGACAGTTTACCTCCTCCCTTTCCTTCCCATACACGCGCAGGTAAAGCAGTAGGCTTCATGCCACAATCACGGTCTTCCAGCCTATAATGTTGAGTCACACACGTCACGTGCTACGGTCCTGCAGGCAGAACTGACGGACTGATGGATTTCCCACAGGCCAACAGTCCAAACAACTGGCTGGCTGGCCGGCCGGCCTGCAGGCACGTCAGTTTTGCCTTTCAGTCTTCAACTGTGCAGGCCAAACTGGAGGCCAAACTGTGTGTGTGTGTGTGTGTGTGTGTGGGGGGGGGGCCTAAGACGCAATGCAGCAGACTGTTACAGCGGATCTGTATCAGCAACAAATGAATACTAAGGCCAGTGAGTTACATACGATATCAACGGAACTCCACGAAGCAGAGTCCCTCGTGGTGAACTAAACAGCTGCCCAGATACTTACGAAATGACCAGCACTGTACAGAACCTGAAGAACTCACTGCTGTGTTCATAAGAGCCAACTACTGGTCTTTATCCCAAGACAGACAAATCCAGTCCTCAACCTCTCATTCTGTTTCTTGAAGATCCATTTTAATATTATCTTCCCATATATTCTACAACTTCCTAATAGTATCTTTCCTTCATGTTTTCTTACTAAAATTTTATATGCATTTCTCTTACATGAAAGGAAACTTTCAAAAAATAACTAATCTCTTTCCACGTTTCTAAAACCTTCTTTCTTGCTCAGCAAACTCATAACATAGCCCATTTCAAGGCTGTACAGCTGACATGATAGTGTCAATGTCGCAACACACCTGTAACTGTTCGTCATCTTCTTTCTTAATGGATTCCATTAGTGGCTTGATGACAGGGTTCAATTTCTCTGGGAGACATCTCAACATAGTCACTGCACCAGCAATAGCAGCTTGAGTCCTACAAGGAAACACAACCACTACAGCAAAACTGCAACTTAGTGACCTCAGGTTTGACATTTTTCCCGATTTTATGATTGAAAGAACAATATTAAAATTCAACCAGTTTCATGTTTCCTCAAATTTATATTTTCCCCAAATCAAGTTCTAACAACAGAAATTAACAGAATTTTACATTCAAAGAAATGCCAGCATTATTCTGCTAAAGAAAAGAAGCCTGTCTTGCAAAATTGGTACACCTCTGCTTATGAAAGGTTTCAAACGTCACATAAGAGACTCAGACAATCACAGACAGAAACACACTTTCATGGCACTATTATGTTCGGGTGGATGCATCAAATTGTTTTAGTAGAAAACAAAATGAAAAGCATTTATAGTAAGTGACAAAATTAGTATTATATTAAGACATGTCAAGATTTGTTAGAGAAATAAATTGGGATAGAGGTTAATGCATTTGCATTGCTATTGGTTTCAACCATGCATATTTCAAATACTTTGCCAAAGTTATGTTATAAAACTGCCCATCTATTTCTTTACGTTCCATCACTTCCATTTCCTGATTTTACACTTTTGTGTATTTTATGTCTGTTTTAGTTGGTACTCTCAAAAGTACAAAATTCAGGTTCAGCTGCTATCAGCATCTGTACACAGTTAGGAAAATAACAGTCTGGAATCGAACAAAACCCATGAACTATCAGCTGAAATCATCAATGGTGCTCACATAATTTCATAAAAGGATAAGACAACAGTTTGACAGAATAAGCAAAGTGAACTTACGAAACACTGAGTAGCATCTGATCAGAGCTGGTTTGAGACACTGCCCCTTGTATGGCTTTCCTGCGCTCTTCGAGACCCTCAGCCACTTTGGGTTTGAGCTTGTGGTTGGACAGCAGCTGCTGGGCAATAGGTCCACTGAGTTGCTGAATCTGTTCCAATGCCAACACCTGCCAGAAACAAAGAGCTTACAAATAATTTGCCACAGAACAAGAACAGTTAATGAACAGGACAGGACAGGACAG